TTTTCTCTAACTCTCAATTATAACACGGACACAAGCTCACCTCCCCACCCCCTCTTTTTTCTGTCTACCCTAAACAGAGCTTGCAGAGCAATCTTTAAACACACAGCTCCAATCATAAAACTGCTGCCCACCTGCTCTCCCATCTCCCCGCCAGGCTGGAACGACAGCCAGGAGGCATTACTCTCCGGCCCTGAGTGTGGGACCCACACCCAGGAGTGAACATCTCCTTAAACGTGTGCCTCCGGGTGCTCCGCTTGCTTCACCCTAGTCCCCACCCTGCTCCCCCGCCCAGAATAAAAACCCATTCATTGGTTCTGTGTTTGCCAAAATAACTACAGACTTCTCACGGTGGCTGACAGCACCCTCGGTTACTGGTCCAAATCTATGCTTTATCCCGAAGTGGACTCCTTGTTCCTCCCAGAACATAAACTCTAAGACAACTTCTCATTGCCTTTGACAAGGATGCCCTCCCTTTACATTACAAAACCCTGACCATCCTTCAAGCCCGAGGAAGGAAGCCTCTGCTGATTGATCAGGCAGCGGTGACATCCTTTCCATGGCATCCCCATTACCCTCATTTGCATGGCTCTTTCAGCACTGGCCTGTCTCAATCCCGCTTTGCAGTTCTGTGCACGTGCTTACATCTCCTCCTCTTTCCTAGTGGTAAGGGGAGCTCTTTCTTAATCATGTTGGTATCTGACATAGCGAATATCCAGAAAAGGGTGAAACATTTAAAAAGCCTACTTTCTAAACGGGCAAGCAGAAACACAAACAAAGACTTTGAAAGCGATAAATGACAGTATCAACTAGTGAATATTTGCTGAGATGTGTAAATAACCAGCAGAACCTATAATGGGTCCAGGCAGTTTGCACCAGCCCAGCCTCATGCAGTTCCACGGAGGCTACCTGAGGGACATCCACCTGGCAAACGGGCGCATCCTCTGTGCTAACGACAGATGTGGGTACTTGCAAGGTACTGAGAGAGAACTGGAACTGGAAGAGGCTAAATAATTGGGCAACCCAGCAGTTAAACAAGCTGGGGGAGAAAAGGGCCAAGCATCTAATGAACCCATCAGTCAGCTGCCCTCAAACATTCATTTAGAGCCTGCCTATGACGTACATGACATGGGACTACCCTTAACGAGGAGATGTTTTCAAGCAAACAAACTCACAGAAAAGGAAATCAGATATGTGGTCACCAGAGGCAGGGGTAGAAGCAGGGGAACTGGATGAAGGTGGTCAAAACGTGCAAATCTCCAGTTATGAGACAAATCCTTGGGAAATAATGTATAACATGATTAATATAGTTCATCCTGCTGTACATTATATATGGAAATTGTTAAGAGAGTAGAGACTTAAGAGTTCTCACTCATCACAAGGACAAAAAATTTTTTTCTATGTCTTCAGTTTTGTATTTATGTAAAATGACAGATGTTCACTAAACTTATTATGGTTATCATTTCATAATGTATGTCATCAAATCACGATGCTGTACACCTTCAATTTATACAGTTCTTTATGTCAGTTATACCTCAGTAACACAGGATTTCCCAAAAAAGAACAGATGTTTTCCTCGCCTTCCAGAATTAACAATCAGCTCCATTTTCTACATCTTCTCTCACCCTTTCAGCTTTTATAATACTAAGACCCATGGGACACAGAGTCATTTGTTGGCCCCCAAATTCTTATCTTTACGAGGAGAGAATTTGCCAAGCCTTGCCTGGCCTCCCAGTGGGTTCCACATCCCTATGCATGTCAGCCCTGGTCCGTCAGCCCCCCGCAGCCTGCCAGGCCCCGGGTTGTCTAAGGTCCCCTAAATGCTCCACTGACACACGACAGAACTCACCACATCAGGACTAACCCATCCCCGGAGGAGAAGCAGATGAGAAAACTTTCAGCTGACAAGCTGAAAAGAGGAAAAGCACAAACTGAACACTCCTACGAGAGTCCTCTTTCTTCCTCACAAGCGACACAAGAAGGAAGGCGCCAGGCAGGATGGGGGCTTGGGGTCCCTTTGTGCACTCCCGTATTAACACAGTCACACTTTGCTATGCAGATGTCACTTCCAATAAACACCAGGGCTTTCCCGGGCCTGGACTCTAATTGAAGGGATTGTTACTGTTAGTGAATGGCTGGGGAATTAATTAATGCAGAGCCAACCACTTCATAAATGCCTGCTTTGTGAGCGGTCCCAGCGTCCTGGGGACTGCGACTCCTGTGGTCAGCGCAGCCCCAGGCCTCTGTGTCAGCAAATGATATTTATTATCGCCATCAGCCCCTTTCTAAAGCCACCAGGAGAACGAGGCCTCACCTGGAGCCCAGAGGGCACAGCCAGCCACACTCCCTCTTCTCTGGGGCTGAGCCTGGAGTGTTGGAAAAACTACCCCCAGTCTTTCAGATTTTTTGAGCATGACTTGACTTAGTTTTTGAAGAAAGACATCGTTTATAAGTTGTAAGTATGGGAACAAGAATGCAAGCAGATAAAAAGCTTTTCTCAACCCACTCTGTTCCTAATTTGGTTACTTGAGGTCTACGCAGGTACAAAAACATACGCACACACCCACTCACGCTGGGAAGCACCACACACTCACGCACACACGCACGTGCACACACACGCACACGCACGGAGTTTCTCTGATCTGCATCACTCCCAATCTTCACCGAATTTAAAAATCAGTTCCAGTTTGAATGCAGCAAATGGACTCTTCAGGCCACCTACCTCCTAGGAATATAAGATGGAAAAAGGAAGTAGTGAGTGAACATGCAAGCTCTCTGCCTGATACACACCTCACTGAATACACACGGGGTGGGTGGTTTTATTTTTCCCCCAGAAAGCTGGTCCCTGGTTCTGCTGACATGGCATGACCAGGCCCCATGTCTGTTTTTGCTGTGGTGGTTTTAGTCTAAACTGCCATGAATGCAGTCTGCAAACTCCCTTTAAAATGAAAAAAAAAAAAAAGTGTCGCGATGCTAACAGTGGTGGAATTGTGGAAGTTTTTTTCTTTATACTTTGTTGTGGTATCTAAGCGTTCTATGGTGAGGGTATATGTTTTATATTCGAGGAAAAAAAAACATGAGGTAAAAACAAACTATTTTCATTTCATAAAATCTCTCCAGATCCTGAGGTTTGCTTTGGCAGCTTTATCTGATTTTTGTGGAAGTGCTGTTCAGGTCTTCAAAATTAGCCTGGGTCATAAAACAAGGAGACTATGACATTCTCTGAAACTGGATCCTACACCACTGGTTTCTGTCTAACTTTAGTGGGAAAGAAGTAACAGCAAATTTACCTTCGGGAACTTTATTCTTCCTTTTCCATGTTCTTAACCCTCTTCCCAAGTCCTTGCCAACCTCACAGTTCCCATCACTTTCCCTGTTTTCTCTGGGTTTTCCTTACTGTTACTTTAAACACTCTGACTGACTGCAATTAATGGTTCCACGTTAGCTACAGAATGTCACCATTTAGCATCTCTAGCCTTTTAAAAGCAGCACACACTCTAGGGAGACTGCTAAATGTGGGCGTGGTTGAAACAACATGCAGTCTGGAAAACAGTCACAGGCCCCAGGCTTTTGAAAAGCTATATTCTTTATTCTTACTTAGAAATCATATTTGCCAAACTTATATGTTAAGTACGAATATTAAGTGCCTGATGAAGGAAAATGAGTAATGTTTTGGGGTGCTGCATTTTGGGAACAGATGAGGAAACTGTATCCCAAAGAAGTTAAATAACTTGCTCCAGGTTATTCACTGGTCTAGGTTGGGCTTGAATAAGAAAAGGTTTCTGATTCCTAGCTTGACTTCTTGTTTCAACACATCATCCCCCCACCCACCTAATGTAAGTCCCAGAAAATCAGACTACCTCACTGCCAATGGGAAACTTCAGCCTGAACCTCCTAATGTTCTCTCCGCTCCTTCTGGGGAATTCTTGGCAAGTAGGCTAAGAAATGAGGCTGAGTGAGCAAACACCTCATTTCTGACTCTCCGGAGCCTTCTCTATGATTAGACCATGCTCTGCAGACAGAAGGGAAACACACAAGAAAGGAAAACCTAGGAGGAAGCAATCGTTCATCATTGCTGCCTTTTCCTTTCCCTTCTGATCCATGTAACTGTGATTGATCCCTGGTTATCCACACGCTGTCCAGGACCAAGAGAGAGAGAGAGGCAGGGCCACAGAGGAGTTTCCCAGTGGAAGTCGACTTCCCAAGCCAGCAGGGTGGATTTCTGGTGGTTTTCTATTAGCCAACAGTTGACTCTGCCCCCTGCCGTGGTTAGATCTGGGGTCATCGTCCTCCAGGCCCAATGTGGACAGCATCTAGGCCCCCTAGTCATTGAGTACCTATATATTTGCCACTCTGCCCTGCCTGCTCTCACCTAAAACAAAAATAAGATCTTGACCTTGACTTGCCAATGGATAGATACCACATAAAGAATCTCAGTACCAGCCATTTATATATTTGTTCAGCTGAAACATAGCAAGTGGTTACTGGGCACCAGGCCTTGGGCCAAACACGTGCTATATAAAGAAACCAGACACACAACTCTTGCTCGTGACAAGCTAATGTGACAATTAGAGAAAAAGGGACAAATGACAGAGAGCCAAGTTAATTTACACCCAGATCGACAAACGCCTCTTTTTAAGACTCAGATCAGACATCGCCCTCTTCCTGGGCATCTGCAGGCAGTAACGTGCTTCTCCTTTTGTGCTCTGATAATATTTGGATTATTCCTTGACTCCAGAATTTCTCATATTGCTCAAATTATTTCTATGCACATCATTCCTTAGATTGTGAGTGAAAGGGGGAAGGTGGAGGGATGAAAAGAGGAAAATCTTGGAACCCCACAGTATCTGGGACTTTTCAGATGAATGAATGAATGGGTAAATAGATGAATGAATGAATGATTTTCCAAGCTCTCTTGTCCTCTAAATTTCCTTCACCCAAATGTGTGTCCACCAATTCAAATAACCAGTAAATTTCCTCATGGCTCCTTAATGTGTGGAGTGTGTTTATTTCCAGTTCATTACACAAACTCGCAGAATTTGGAGAAGTGGAAGCCTTCTCTCACTCAGCCAAAAGCACGATTTTGTTGTCTTTGTTTGTGTTTCTCCAGGCGCAGAGGGGCACAGCTGAAGTCTGTGTGAGCGCGTGTGGGTAGGGTGTGCATCGGTCCTGCACGTAATCGGGTAGCATCCTCAATAACAGGTGTCCCTCCTGGAGGGCTCAGCGGTGACGGAGGGCATGGAGGGGTGTGCCAGGAAGATGGGGAGACGTCGCCTGCCAAAACCAATCACATTAAATCTTAATGCTCATTCAGGGCCTGTCACAGGAGGAGAGATCTGATGAACACCCGAATGTCAGCGTGGTTATAGCGTCTGTTAAATGGCTTGTTAATGTGATTGTTGAGGATTTTACACAGAAATGACACTGGCTACCAGCACAGCAAGGCAGGCCTGGCTCCAAGCCAGCCTCTACCAAGTACCATCACGACGTCAGGCCAGGTGGACGGGGGTTCTGCAGCTACCTGGTCTAGCCTCCTGCTGGCTCTGTTTTATAATCTGACTCTTTTAAGAAAAGGCTAGCAATCTCCCCAGAAAAGATGCCTAAGGTCACAATTTTTGCCTGTTCTTCAGGTGAAATAAAGGTCTGTTACACCAGAAAGAAGGAGAGCTTGGAAACAATTTGTCCCTCTCATCTCTTTCCATGAAATAAACATGAATAGTTAGGTCAGGTGGTACCACGGTCTGAAGAAAGAAGGCGGAAAACACTGAAGAGCAGAACACAGTGACCCCTCGATGGGTTCTAGCAGTGTTTTCTCTTTGTTTTCCTGATGAGTCAATGGCACAGATGACGGACATCAAAACTAACTGAGCATCAGCTGGGGCAAAGGACCGCTTTCGCTGATTTGGGGAACAAGAAAGGAAGTTACATGAGCCTTATCTACAAGAATTTGACCTGAAGAGGATGGACAGAGCCAAACAAAACAAAATACAGCTACTGTGCAGATAACTGACTGCAACGAGATGCGGGGTATGAGACAGTAAACGTCCTTAAGATCCTTTTACAAACCTCACTCATTCGCTTCTCCAACATTCATTCACCGATGCCCACAGTGTGCCCTATTATAATCCTGCAGCCCTTTTCTTAGTAATAAACGTTCCGTGTTTATTTTATTTTATTTAAATCTATTCTATTCCATTTTTGGATGGGAAGTGTATATATCAGAAAACATTTCATGTTGGTTTGACTATCTCAGTGAGGAGACCTCTCCACAGGCTGAATCAGTTCCACTCAACAACCAAGTTAGCAATCGCAGACTCTTAGGGTCACGGACCCTGAAGGTGATCTAGGCCAACCTTCTCACAGTGAAGACAAGGAAGTTAAGTTTCTTCTGCAAAGTAACTGAGTCACTGCGTGGCGGGCTGCAGCCACCGGCCAGGTCCCCCGATGGTCAGTCCTGCACACTTCGCCCTCCCTCCGCCAACCTCCCCAGTTGCCTAAAATTCCAATGCCCCAGGTTTGTCTTCAGTGACAAGAAACACAGGCTGCTCTCTCCGATCTGGCCCTGGTCTGAGCACAGCTCTGACATGTCCCTGCTGTGTGCCACTCTGGTCTCTGGAGAAGGATGCTGGGCTCTCCAAAGAGCCAACCAGGCCCCTGCCACCCGTGTGCAGGGTGACCCAGGTAGGGCAGCACAGGACACTCGGGGAACAGACGGGCAAACTGGCCAGCTCTAGTTGCTTGCTCAGGACAACCAAACCCTCCCTCTCTGGGTCCTTTTCTTTCAAGCCCTGATAGGGTCAGGGGGATTCTCAGGGCCCTGACTCAGAGAAACGGCAATCCTCCCCACACCCACACTCTGTTTCTCACAGGGGCTTCCTCTCTCCTGGTGTGCAAAGCCCTGGAACAGTTTTCTGGTCGGTTTGAGTGCCCGGGGCAGCACGCTCCGGGTCTTAACCCGCAACTGCAGTGCCTCTCCAACTCTGTGAACCAGGCTGAAACTTCTTTCATTCCTCAAGGCCTCTGCCAGCCTCTCGTGACAATCCAATCCCTGTCCCCAAGGCTCTGCCACCAGGAATCCTTCAGCCAGCCTCTCCTCTGCCTCCTCTTCCCCATATAAGCCCAGCTCTGTCTGTTGGTTCTAATGGCTTTTCTTGAAGGCAGGTTACCCTCTGTGTTAGCTTCCCAGAGCTGCCGTGACAAAAATTACCATAAACCAGGGGCTTAAAAACAAAGGAGGTGTGCTCCCTCACAGTTCCAGAGGCCAGAAGTACAGACTCGAGGTGTCTGCAGGGCTCCACTCCCGCTGGAGGCTTTAGGGGAGACCCTTCCTCGCCCCTTCCAGCTGCTGGTGGCTCCAGGCGCTCCATGGCTCGTGGCTGAATGATTCCAGTCTCTGCCTTGCTCTTCGTGTGGCCCTCTCCTCCTCTCTGTGCCTTCTCTTCTATCTCTTTAAGGACACTTGTCATGGGGTTTTGGACCCACCTGGATTATCCAGGATGACCTCATCTTGAGATCTTTAACATAATTGTCTCTGAAAAGATCCTTTTCCCAAAGAAGGCTGCATTCCCAGGTTCTTGGTGTTAGGATATGGACACAGCCCTTTGGATGTCAGCAGTCAACCCGCCACACCCTCTCCTAGAACTGGGGCTCACCCTAGATCAGAGTTGAAACACTGTACTTCAGACTTAATGAATGATTCAACCATGAAGTCCTGAGTTTGCTTCAGCACTTGATGCTGGATATCAGTATGGCGCTAAAGATACAAGATGAATGGTTCCTGCCCTCTAAAAGTTCTTAATCTTATAAATCAGAAAAGCAAATAGGTCATTACAATACAACATGAAAAAAATTAGAAACATCCCATCACTCAAGGATTCCATGGCCCATTTCCCTGATAATTCCCATATTCCAAGCAGTGTCACTCTCTTTTTGTTCATGTGCCACTGAATCTGCTTAACCAGAAAAATGAAAACTGATGGAGGAAGGGGAATGTCAAGGGGAACAAGGGAGACGTCTTCCCTGGAGAAATTTCTCTCGGCCACAGATATGTCTGTCTGAATATTAAAAAGAAGGGCAGACATCTGGTAAAACAGTCCACGGTGGGCGTAACGTTTCTGAAGTCTGCACAGAGAGCATCTCAGAGGCGGAAAGGGCTCACCCACGGACAGAAGTGATGGCTCCCTGAATACGGCGTCTACATATTTGTGCACAAATCGACAACTTGGATGAATGCCAAGAAGCACGCTCGCTCTTTCACTGTTGAGTTGTTTAAGCATTTTAAGACCTTAGCTATGCGGGGCCATGTCTGAGCTCCCATGTGAAGCCTCCCATGCTTAGTCCTCTAGACAGGAGATGGCCTGGCTTATACACAGAGAAACAAGGCAAGTGCTTCCCTCCACTTCAAAACAGAGAACCCTTTTTTGAGCCCTCTCCTAAATTTCCTGAGGGGCGAGGGGTGCAAGATTATTCAGGGTGATGAGGCCAGATGGAGAGAAATCAAACACACACCTTGTTAAGTGACTCTAGAAGGTTTCTACCTCACAGCAGATATTCCTATCAGCAGCAAAACCTTCCACAATTTAGGAGGCAAATGGTGGATCATATTTACCCTTGAGAGCTGAAACATACAGATATAAAGGAGACAGGCGAGTAGGCAATGTGCAAATTGGCTGGAATATTGTGATTCAGAAATAAAACGCAATTTTGTGTGCTAGAGTGACTCCTTTGCTCTGTATTTTTTAAAAACATGTAGTATCTTATTGTAAAATGACTCTGCTGACTTTTTTCATAGCTGAGACTCAATGAATAAGACACAGATAATCATTCTAAAGCAGCCCTATCTTCAGTCCCCTGCTATTATGTCCTGGAAGAGGATTTCTGAGAAGATTGGCAAAGATCCAGTAGCTGTCCAAAGAAAGCTGAAAGCACGGCTGAAATTTTCTAGAAAGCTATGCTTTGGTGACTCTGCCCAGCAAAGAACTTTTTCTACCTGGGGTAAGTGGCAGTTAGAAAACACTCTGCTACAGATTCCAATCTTTGCTCTAAAATAAAAAAAAAAAGGCTCATGTTAAGTCCTGAGTGTAATATTTTGACAAATAAAAATAATTGTTGTAATATCCTCAGTGCTACAAAAGAGACTCTACCTCCACACACCTGCTCGCACAGCTGAGAAATATTACGAAGGGGGCTGACCTGGCTAACTCCCAGTTTCTCTCAGCTTACACTTCAGCTGGAAGGAGATGATTTATGCTGACCCTATCTAGCTTTCAAAGATCAGGGTGACCCCAGCCAGAAACTGGGTCCCATTATGCAAGTGAGTTTGCCACAAAAATTGGTTCTAATCCATTTCTCCTTCCTAATTCAGTCTACCAGAAAAAGCAAGAAATTTCATCCTTCAAAGAACACAGAGAAAGGCAGGTGGTGAATTCTGTCTGCAGATCTTATTTAGAAGAACGTCAGCATAATGTACTGCTCACCAGCCGAGGGGGACCAGCCTGTCGGCTCCTGCTGCCCTAGCCTGTGCCCACTTCCCCTCCACCTTCCACTCCTGCGCCAGGACAGGGGTTCCGAACCTCCGATTCACCAGTGCAGCCGCCACCAGCGAGTGCCATCTAGCACTGCCCTAAGTAAGACGTGGGCCCCGCAACACCAAAGTTGCAAGAAGTTCTATTGGTCAGTCCACTGTCATCTTAGGTCGCAGGTTAACTGGAGGCCTCCATGACGACAGGTCTGGTTGCAGACCCTGTGAATGGAATCTTATTTGGAGAAAGGCTCTTTGCAGATGTGACTGCTAGGAATCTGGAGATGGTATCATCCTGGGTGATCCAAGTGGGCCCTAAATCCAAGGACAAGTGTCCTCTTGAGAGACACAGAGAGGAGAGACACATGGAGAAGAAGAGAAAGGCCCTGGGAAGATGGAGGGAGAGATTGGAGTGACGCAGCTCCAGCCAGAGAGTGCCTGGGACCACCGCGGCTGGAACAGATTCTCCCTTAGGACCTTTCACGGGGACACTGGTCCCTGCCAACATCTTGACTGTGGACATTTGTCTTCCAGAGCTGTGAGAGGATACATTTCTGTTGTTTTAAGCCCCCCAAAATTGTGGTGATTCATTACAACAGCCATAGGAAACTCATACACCTTACTTAATTTTCAAGGACAAATGACATTCTCATGATCCAGAAGGTTGAGTCACACTATTATCAAACTCACAAGTTTGAAATTTGAAACCTCATGAATTTCTTTCTTTTGATAATTCGCCATATCTTTCAGACTA